AATTGGGTTCTCGCTCGTGCTCTGAGTTGATCATGGGGAATTCGAGATTGGTTGATCGCAAGTTGTATTTCATCTTGATTAAAGTTTCAAGTATGAAAGATTGGGAATTGGATTTAGCCCCAGAGTCTGTGCTCGGATAATCTTCTAAGACGTTGTCCCAAAAATTTAAATCTAATGACGATGTTGAGACTGAACTAGCGTATTAGAAACCTTTAGTGTTGTGGACAATCGCTTTTGCCTATTCGACGGCGATGATCCCGATGTGCAATGATGGTCCTGCTTCGTTTGAATCTTTCCTTTTGAAGGGCTGTTTTCTTTTTCTTTTCCCTGCTCACTCATTATATTAAATAGGGTGTTCGGAATGGTCGTAATTTTACTTGGAACCATTTGTTGAATTTCTTTGAAAGCAAGGTCCGATTTTCTTAGATAGTGACCATTATCGAGAGTTACCGTATGTTTGATGTCTGGTATGGGTTTTCCGCCAAGGGGTTTGAAGTACGGTTGACCTTACCTTTTATTCACTGTCTTTATCTGCCATCTCCTTCTTTGGGTGAAGGGGTTCGGCAACGACGCTCTCGGTGCGACCTGCTCTGATTTGTCCGTCGGTCCGCTCTCGTATCCTTTTTTATAGGGTTTGGTCTCCTCCAACTAGCCGTACTCCGTGTCATCCTTTGCCCCCTAGTCCTGGGCTCTCTCTTTGGACAAAATCAACTTCTTTTTATCTAATTCAAGGGCGTGTGAAATTAAAGTTTTCCAGAAGGTCTTAGGGGATCTATTAAATTATTTCAAAAAGGGTGTGCATCCAATGGATGGTTGCTTCGTTGAATGAATTGCTGAATTTCATCGATTGCTGCCTTTAGTGTCAGTTTGGGTAAGTTAATTGATATTGCCATAAGGTTCACCTTGACGGTGTAAATTAGAAACCTTACGACTCCATTTGATCTATGATCTCCAATCATTAATAAAATTAAGCATGATTCTTCTCGCAAAAAAACTTTAATTTCGTTTGAAAGAAAACACGACCCATGGTCTACCTTGGTTAATTTCGGAAATCCATGTAAGTTGCAGTATTCCGCGAGAACTGTATTTGTTGAAGACGCTGAAGTACTATTTACGAATTTCGGTGAGGGAAATTTAGTATATCTATCTATGCAGGTTTATTTCGTCGTTTGGTTCCGATAATTCTGGTGGTTTCTGAGTGTTAGCCGAGCCCATAATGACTTTAAGATTCTTACCGGCTTTTATACGCTGTGCACAATTCTTTACGTGGTGGTAAATTTCTCGATATAAGTGAGGCCACCAAGTGTTCTCAGCCAGTGCTTTCATGCCAAACTGCCCTGGGTGGGTTTCGTGTACTAGAGTCTTGAACGGAGATCTGAGGGCTGAGGGAACAATCAATTTGTTGTCATTGATGAGTAGTCCTTCTTCCAGATGAATGTCCGGTTGAAAGGTCTTCAAATAAGCACCGACTTTATCCAGTGTTTTTCCTTCTTCTAATGCCCTCGTTTCTTCTTTAAGAATTTTGTCTTCATCTGTCATTATTAGTACAATTCAATCGAGCTATGGTCCGTTAACATTAAAGGGGATGATGGTAGTTTTAACTCACGTTTATACTTGGCGAGTAGTTTTTGTTGGATTTTAGACGTAATTTTGTTTTCGAATTTTAAAGTATTGATAATTTCAAGGAATTTACTGAGTCTTGAAAGTTTAAAATTCAGATTTGTCTTCTTGTTTTCAATTTGGTAAAAAGACAATAGGGATGTCATTAAAAATATGATTTGTCTGATCAGAAAAATTGATTGAAATTGAAAATTTAAAGTTATGCAACTGCTCGTACAAGACTCTGAAAGCGACAGATTAGGTTGGCGAATTCGAAGTGAGTCGGTGACGTAATTAAGAACATTTGCGAAGAATGACCATTGGATGTGTTGTAGATTTTCATTCTTTCCGACCATTGGATATATACAATCCAAGTTTATTATAATATTAACACCGTCTACAATCAGTGGATTACCAATCAACAAATCGTTCTTTGTACAATTCTTCTTGTTACAATCACTATTTCAAATAGGTTTTCTGAAATCGTGTTGAGCGTCGTCACTTCAAAATTATTGTCATAATGTGAGGCTGGGAGGGTTTTTCCGAAAGGTAATATCGTCAAAAAGTCAGTAAATCCCACTTCTTTCCATGGGATATGTT